CCTGGGAACTTTCTCTGAGAAAAGTAACATGGATACATGTAATAATTTAGCTACAAAAATGTTGTAGTTATCCAAACAGAAAACATATAAATAGTCTTCCAAAGGGCAGATGAATTTAACAAATCTTAACAATCTTAAAATTATAAGACTAGCAAATTATAAAATCTAAGTGAAAAATCAAGTTATAAAAATAGTGCATTTGCTATAAAATACACTGAAAAAAAGACAACCTGTATATGATGATTTCTAGGAAGTAAATTTATAAGAGCACTTTTTCATTGTTTTTGCTTACCTGCACTTTCTAAAGTTAACTATACTTTCAAAAAGTTATAAAAATTTTATAAGAAAAAAGAGTAATTACAATTGGTGGAATGTTAACAATACACTTTAGCAAGATGGACTGGGAAAGATGCACGTAGGCAAATAATTGTATGATAGGAAGGTAAATTGTCAAATTGATGGGAAAAATTAAAAAAAAAGTTTACAATCACTATAATGAATAACATTAAACACATTTCCTAAAAAATGAAACTCAATATTATAATTATTTATTTTTAAGTATGACATTTTTGTCAACTTCTAATAATTTCATTATTCTGCATCTATTATATGCTATTAATTATGATAATTATAAGAAATAAAAAGTGAAGAAAACCTGGAAAAAAGAGAGGTTAAGACATTAGGTCATCTGATTATTCCCTCTGCTAAAATGGAATGTTAGCTTTTTATTAGTTTATGTATATGCCTAGATCTCAAATCTGCTTCTTTACAGTGACTTTTGGTTATATAGAATATCAAGTGAGAAATTCATAATCAGACCAGGAATGTTCCAGCATGGACTTGTGAATCTTGAAATATGTGTCATTATATTAACTTCTCAGATTTTAATTTCTGTACTTGTTATATAAATAAGAAATTCTTCACAATTTTAAAATTATTCATAACTTTTCCTCAAATATGCCTTGTTTCTTTTACCACTTGTGGTCTGGTTTGTTGACTGTGTGGGAGCAATACCCACCATTTAGGTTTCTTTCTATAGATCCATATGAAAATTACACAGAAAAAATTTTTGGAATACATTGACTCTAATCATCACAATATCTTCAAAGTCTTTATTTTAAATGTTTTTCTTCCTTCTTCATTATAAATCACTACTGCACTTCTGAGACAATAATGTGACAAAACAAGAACTCCAATACACAGACTTAACATTGGTTTTACTATCCAGGATTTTTCCTTTTGTGACACCTCACTCACCTTGGTTGCTTCTATATTACTCAGTGCTCCTCTCCTGGCACACAAAGGAGAATCCTTGGTTCAGAGATGTAATGACTCCCTGGCCCCTTCACCCATTAAAATTACAATCTCAGTTAAATCATGTACCTATAATGCCACACTATATTCAAGATTTGAATATTGCTAGAAGCAATCATGCAGCTTTCCTCATGGGTTTTCCTTACTCATTCCACCAACTCTCAAATGTGCATTCAGTTCTACCTAGCAATCCTATTTTTTTCTAGTTATATTCATTTTCACATAAACCAAGACAATAATTTCAAATTGTCTCTATAAATATTTAGCACCAGACACTAAACACATCACACTAAGAATCCAAATTAAAAATTTTATTGAGAAAAGGATGGCACCTCAACCTCATTTTTATACCACTAAATGTCCATCCATGTTCTTTGTATACCTCTATTATAATGAAAGTATTTTGCCCTCTTCAAAAGAAAAGGCAACTCTTTATGTTTGGCTATGTTCTAGAACCTACTTATCTACCCTCAATCTAACTCTCTATTCCAGGACTTGCTACTACAATTACCTTTTCTCTCCTTAAAACATCATCTTTCCTTTCTTCTTTATCAATACAACAACCACATGCTTTAGACTCTTGCAGTAGAAAAGAGAACAAATCCTAAGACACCACGAGCCTGCTTTCTATTTAATATCATTTTTTCTACCTCCATTACAGGGAGGAAAAAAGTTGTATATGTTTACTGTTTCTATTGGCCACTCTCATCTTACTTTCTTCTGGAGATGTTTTCTTCTGTTGCTTTCCTTGACACACTTGTTAGTTTCTGTTTACCTCATTTAACATTCTTAAATTTCCTCTTAGATTCTCCTACTTTTCCAACTACAAATACTGGCATACCACAGAGCTTGGTCCTGGGGCTCTCTTTTTTCTCAATGACCTTTCTCTAGTTTTATGTAGTACCACAGCTTTAATTAGCTATGCGCTGATGGCTCAATAACTAACTGCCTGCTCAATGTTTCCATCTGAATTTTAAATAATCATCTTAAATATATATATCCAAGAGAGAGTTTAATTTCCCTCCCCAAATATGTTTATCACAATCTCCCAAAGTCTCCATCACAAAAGAGAATATATCTACAGTGTTCATGCCCAAACATGGGAGTCAGCTACAACTCTTCCTGGCCCCTTCTTTCCAAATCCGGTCCATTTTCAAGCCCTGTTTACTGCAAAATACTTCTAAAGATCTAAACTTGTTTATCTAAGCCATTATTATGGTTTTATCTTTTGCTTATACTATTTCAATAGCTCTTGTCTTTCAATATCTTCTGCATTTTGATAAAATTTCTACTCCTGGCCATGATCTACGAAGTCAAACAGAATTTTCTACTACCTATGACCTCTGTCTAATCTCTTGCCACTATCTTCCTTGCTCACTAGACTTTAATTGGATACAAGTTTCATGCATTTGCATCACTGCCTTAAGTATGTGCCCATCTCTCAGAGCATTGTTGATCTCTCCTTTTCTGACAGAATATTCTTTCTACAGCTCTTTGCAGGGCTAGACCTTCCTCCCTTTTCATGTCTTAGGTCAGCTACTCACCTTAACAGAAGCCTGATCATCCTAGCAATCCTATCAACTGCAGTTCATTCATTACCTTTTATTTTTATCCTACCACTACTGTAATTTATTTATTTGTTGGTTTGCTATCTATATATAGCAAATATAAGTTTCAAAGGAGTAAGGACCTTTTATATTTTTATCATTGTTTCAGTTCCCAGCACAAGACTCATACTAGGTACTCAATAAAATGTGGATGCATGAGTATTTCACTAACTTTTTCTAGTTTACCATATATTGAAATAGATCTAAAGTGATCTATTAGTTCATTAGTTTATAAAGCTAAAGAAATGAAAGTTTTTAGCTTTATCCTCTAATTCTAGATATTTCTATAATTGTAATATAATGCACAAGAATAAATCAGCCCATTTTACAAATTCAAGAATCTTTTCCAATTCTAATCTGAAGAAAAATGTCACATTTCCACATCCAGTATAGGACAGAATCATTTGTGGCAGACCAACACTCTAGCCATGAACTAGAAAAGCCAGAATAAACAAAAAAATCATCAGAATAAATGCACAAAATTATGTGGCTGTAATAATGACTGGAACGGCTATGATCCTGAAGAGGGGTTAATTAGAGAGAGGTAATTTGAAGTCTGCACTTGTTGTTTTTTCTCCAGAGTTTTACAGATTCTAGGTATGGCAAAAGGACAGAGAAATCAGACTTTGACTAGGAGAACAGAGAAACCATCCAAGCTTTTGCAGTTAGGTAGGACTGAATGACAAAATTGGAGTAAACAGAAGATTTCTCCAGAGTCTTACAATGCTGAGGAGACAATACTGACAGGATCTGGCAGGAGTAGGTCCTCATGAATACTAAGCTGTCCGTTTGGAAGGATTCATCCAAAGTACAAGGGTGAGACAAAGACTTACCAAAAATTCCGCCCCAGTCTCCAAGGGTGATAATAAACCATTTGTATTGTGTTAGAAATAAGCTAATAGGAAACATTTTATGAAGTAGGAGAAAAAAGGAACAACTGGCTGTGACAATCTTAAGCAGGCTGGAAAAAATGTGAATTAGAGCTGGGTGTGGTGGTACATGCCTGTAATACCACCAACTCCAGAGGCTGAGGCAGGAGGATCACAAGTTCAAGGCAAACCTCAGCAACTTTGCAAGGCTGGAGACATGTATGAACTCACTGGGGATGAGAGATATCCTGCAGTCAGAGTCCTAGAGTAAGTGAGTTAGAAAGATAGTAGGTGGAATTCAGAAGCATGATACTTGAAACTGAGCTGAGTAATGACCAAGTATACGATATGACCATAGAGTACATGGCTGAAGTAGTATACTAGTGGAAGGAGAGAAATTTCAGGAAATCAGAGACTGGCACATTGCAAGAATCAGTTATATAGATATTTAATTCACAAAGAATTAATTATGACAGGGGTTGGTTGAAGAGAAAGAGAAGCAGATCTTAAAATCTTCCAGAAACAAGGAAAATGACACAGGAATATGTACATGACTGTGACAAGATTGTGTACTGGGCAGTGTTTTCTGATGCATGAGATTCAAAGCTAGAGATGAAAAAGGAAATGAGAAAGGAAAAAGAAACAATGATCTAAAAACATGGGCTCAGTAGTATAACTGGTATGGGAAAGAATACAGCCACTACTAGAGAAGATGCAGTGGAGCTAGTAGACTCAGGGAGGAAACAGTTCGAGTTAGAGCAGGAAGTGCAAGTCGTGCTCAGAAAAGAATATGCTAATAATTTGACCCATTCAACTATGTTTACTAATGATACCAAATTAGGCATTGGGAATAAAACAGTAATAAAGGCAGAGTCTCAGCCTTCACAAAACTGGAACTTGAAAAAAAAGTCCAGTATACAGGAGATTACTTTGAAAATAAAATAAAATTTTAATAACAAATTAACATGTTATAAAACAAGTTTTATTTTACTAAGAAAAGATGATGCATTAAATTTTATAAAGAAATGAGGATGCATATTTTGAACAGTGGTAGAAGGAAATTATGTAAATATTTTAATATATCTAATCATCAGTATAAACTCTAAAAACTAAAGAGAATTAATAATATTTGGGCAAGAATCACCCTTTAATGGATAAAAAAGAGGGGGAAATGGTAATTATATGCTTTTTCAGATACATGCATAGTTACCTGAGACAAAGCAGCATCCCGTTCTTGTATCACTGCATTCATTTCTTCGGCAGTTATTCTCTTTTTACATTCCTTGGTCTTGTAGATTCTATCCACAATTACAGCTCCATTCTTCTGAATAGCTATTCCTGTGTCGGCATTGTTTATTCTGTTCAGTAATTCCTGTAATGTCTACCAACACCATTATATGTTAGTCAGACATGAAGTTTTAATATATTTTATTTAATATAGGGTTTTAATTAATAGGCACATGTGAATTGTAAATTGACTGAGTGAAGTTATTGAATTTTCATATTGCAGCAAAGATGTACATTATTAGTGTGTCAATTCTTCTTTTTCCCACATCTTAGTTCTTGAAACCCACTCAATTGAACTTAAGCCTCTAAGATATAAGACTGACATCAAGAAATCTCCTCAGAGAATGGCTTACCATGTCATTTTCTTCAGGGTTAATATTTTCTAGCCTAGAAAAAAGGGACACAGAAAGCCTGATCAGTAGCATTTCCTTAGTGCAGCAAAATGAGTTCGCTTTTTAAATCTTTAGAACCTCAAGTAATTTCATTCGACTAGTCTTTAGAGTCAACCATGACACTGAACATATTAAAGTGCCACCTGCTCGACTCCATCTTTCAATAATGCTCTATATCTTCTGCACTGACTTCAGACTGTTAAGTTATTAATGTTTACTGCTATATATGACTACAAGGATCAATTGTTCATATGTGCTTAGATGAAGAAAGTTCCCCAGTGATAGAAGCACTCATTCTCATCATTATATTTATTCCTGGACTTCCAATTCTTAACAGAAACTATATTTCCTCTTTTGTGGATGCCATCACAAGTAAAACAAGGCAAGTATTTTTATTTCAAAGTTTAACTATGTTCCCTCAAAAACAGTGACAAATAATTACACTAACTTTGACCTGAAAATCTCTTGCTGCTATCTATTTGTTAAGACAAATACACTATATAGACATGCTGACCAAAATTGGGCCACATTTTAACATTGCTATTCTCTCTTTTTTTAAGGAATCATTCAATTTAAAGACAAAGAAAATAAACTGGATCCCCTCATAAATACACTGTCTCAAAAGAGGCATGATGTTTATAGAACAACATAAATGTTGATGGACTGAAGGAATGTCTGAAAGTAAACAAATTCTAAGTGACACACATTAGAAAATTTCTAAAATACAATTTAGGTAATTATTAAATTGGGCAAATTAAAGGAGAACCTGCAATGGATATTAGTGAAATGATACAGATTCTAGAAACAATCTCAATTATTTAAAAATTACAATAAAAAGTTTAGATAATCAAGTTCCTGTTTTCTCAAGATTAACCCCCTCCCCAAAACTGTATTCCTATGATTTAATATTAACTACACAGGATCCTGGGCACATGAATTTAGAATTCAAAGTTTAAATAGTTAGAATGACTGCACCTAAAAGTACATGATATAATTTTTCATTGCTGGTAAATTAATTTGAACTGTTTTTGGTGAGTCTAGGTGTGCTAAGTCTCACAGGCGGTGCATAAGTGAGCACAGTTAACCACTTAACATTTGGATCTCAATCAATACTACATTAGGAAAAATTAAAATAAAATTATTTGATAAATATGTCACAAAGTTGTTACAAATTCCACAAATGGATGAAATCACTGCACTCAGATTCAAGGTAGTAATTTTAAAACACAGCATCTTAACAGAAAAAATATATAAACATATTAAAAAGTGACATATAAAAAGCTATCTCTGTATATTCAAATAGTGTATAACAGGAAGGCATAGTAATTTTGAATTAGATATAACAATGCATTTCAAACTACTAAAACCTGCTTGAATTCACATTTCAGGAAGAGCAAATACTCTTGTCTTTTATCACTTTTTCCTCCAAAATAAATCGAGTTTTCAGTGATGCTACTTAACAAAGCTTGTTCTATAAGAATTGTGAAGATAAGTATTTCTTTTCTTTACTCAACAGAAAAAGCAGAAAAGTATGATAATAAAACCCTTACATTTATTTATGGTCACAGTACAAGTATTTGGGGACTATCAGTAGCATTTAACCATTAGCTATTGGATGGCTAAATATGATTTTTAAGAAAGTCAAATGTCGGGGGCTGAGGCTGTAGCTCAGTGGCAGAGTGCTTGCCTAGCATGTGTGAGGCACTGGGTTCAATCCCCAGCACCACATAAATAAACAAAATAAAGGTACTGTATCCATCTACAATTAAAAATAAAAAATAACAAAAGAAGAAGGAAGTCTAGATTAAAAAAAAAAGAAAGTCAAATGTCATGGGAAATATCATTTTAATATTATGCTTTTAAAAATGAAATCAGATGAAGAACTGATTATGGCAGTTTCCAAATAAAATCCAATTCACGTGTTTAAAAATGTCATAAAAATTACTTCTATTAAACTTGATACTTTAATGTGATAAACCTCAGATTTGTAGACTCCTAGGAATAGTTATCAAAAAAAAAAAAATAGTAACGAAAGTAATAAGTCTCCATTTTCAGTGTAAAAAAGTTATATTACAGGAAGAAAGTAACAATATAAACAGGTTACATAATTTGTACCTACCAGATAATCAATACAATAAAAACTATGGAATTTCTACATAATACTTGTAAGTTATCTTTAGACATTGTAATGTGAAAAAATATTCTTTAATGAGAGGCAGATGAAGAGTTCAAATGTTTAAAATTAACACCAATAGGAAAGAGTAATATTTTAATATTAGTATTTATTCTAATATTAAAATCACCTAATAATTTTCTAAATCGAAGTCAAATTTTCTCTGAGAACTATACTAGATCCCAGGCATATGAATTTGGCATTCAGACTTTGAATAATTTGTGTAAATTACTGTGAAAATACATAATATATAATGACTTATCATCTGCTGATAATTGAACTGGAACTATTTTTGATGAAGTCTAGATCTGATTGAGCATGATTGACAAAAGTCAACCATTTAGCATTTGGATCTCTATCTTATTTTATTATTATTTTGTCTAACTGATTAGTGTACTGATACATGGCCATCAATAGAAAAATAGAACTTTACGAAAAAAATTAAAGAAGGTTAATTGGTGACTTGAAAATTTGCATAGACACACATAACTTATATTTCTCTATTTGTGTTTTGTAAGTCTCAAGGAGTATCTGTCAGAGATATCAAAAATTGATTATATTATAATTTAATCTATTAGATCACATGGAGTAGGGATCAGTGAACATTCTATAAAGGGCCAGATAATATAAATAATGTAGGTTTTGTCTATGTTTACTGTCATAGCTATTAAACTTTGTAGTGTAAAACCAACTATAAATAACATATATGTGAATGAGTGTGGTTTGGTTTTAATAAAATTTTATTTACAAAATCAGGAGGTGGGATGCATTTGTATCATAGGTTCTTAGTTTGCCCAACCTTGATAGATTATTGTAAAATAAGACCAGATCTTTGATGTTAGTACAGTAAGTGCTGATTCAGTATACTTGGCATAATTTTCTAAGCTGGTTCATTCAACATCTAGTTAAAGATTAAGAATTAACAAAAGTAATTTTCAGAAAATTAAATCCAGGCCTACAATAACTATACCACTTACTATATTACTTAAAACAACACAAACATTAGACAACCTACCTACCTTTTCATAAAAGAGTAAATTTGGAACAGCTATATAAGCCTTCAATTTTCCGTAAAAATAACTCTGGGGAACCAGGGTTTACTGGTACATGTACAGCATATAACAATTTATTGGTTTAGTAAAGACTTAAAATTAATAGACGGTGTTACACAAAATATAGCTGACCAACTATAAATTACATTTCATTAACACGAGCTTTACAATTAGACAAAATAATCTCAACCTTTTGTAAACTCTAAATTATGCCTACCTCAGTCTAACTTGACAGTCATGATAACTGGTAAGAATTTGCTGAAGTAAATGTCCATGGGCTCAAGTTTCAATTGATTTCCTATATCATGCAAATTCTAATTGACAACCTTGCACTCTAAGTAAAAAGAAACTTTCCATGAAATGTCACATTTCTTGATTTATTTCTAAATCAGTCAATATCATCTTTTTCCTTTCTGAAGCTACATTCACTGTTTTCAATGTGAAAAGCATAATATTGACTTCAAGTGATAAAGAACTACTGATCAGCTAACCAGAAAATTTTGAGTTGTTTGCTTTTATTCTCATTTTTTTTTACAGCATTACATGTGATATATTTAAGAAAAACTAACAATAACAAAGAGACTAAAAAAAGTTATCAACTCAAAAGTTTGAGTGTACTTATGAAAACATGTATATTAGTAGTATACATAAATCATTTTAACTTGAATCCTTTTAACTTTTTTCCTACTTTTGGATGAAAACCAAAAAAGTAAAGGAAGAAAAAAAACACTGGTAATTGAAGAGGTAAAGGAAAGTAGAAAAGTGTCAGAATAAGACTAGGTTGACACTACAATACAGAGATAAAAAGAAAGTCAGAAGTGGCAAAGGAGATCAGACAAAAGATGGAGGAAACTTGAAGATTATAGAAAGCAGGAAATAGGGCATTAAAAAAAGGTAAAAAATAAATCGTACAATTTCATCCAATATTCAATGCCTCTAAATATGTTTCACAGTTAAGCAAAGTCTGGTTATGAATTTGATGCATATTTTTAAAAGTTTAGTCTAAAATGCACTCTTGAAGGTTCAGAATCAAAGCTCAGGAGAAAGAAACTTCTATACTAACATCTGACACAAGGCTGACATATTATTCTGTTTTTGTTATTGTTTTTGTATAGTCTGTATGCTGAAGCCCACCGATCTGTACCCCCAGACTATGATACAGTAGAAGCCCTTCTTATAAACTTTCTAGAAACCAATGATTCTGTTTATCAGTTAGTACTGTTTTAAGTATCAGTGTAACTATTTAGATGATATTCCTAACTAAATTGGTACCATAATAATGTGTCCCCAGTAACTAGAACTATACTTGACATAGTATATGTTCCATAAATATTTATTAATTGGATTAATTTAAAGAAAAGGCTTAGGTTTGTTTTCCTTTTTCCCATTCCCATTCCTCTGTAACACTAATGCTACACAGAGAAATGAAAACGGCTCTGCCTAAAGGAATGCTAATTTCAATATACTGTAATAAAAAGTATAACAAATAAATGTACAAATTAAAATATATACAATGGAAGAAAAAATGAGGAAAGGACAGGCTCTATTTAGATATATTTTGGCTAAAGAGAATAAACAAAATTAAGAGATCAATTTAATAGGGATTCTGAGAAGTTTTGGCTTGGATATGTAGGCAGATGGTTGTGTCACTGATCAGGATAAGGGATTAAGGAGAAGGATCAGGTTTTAAGAATGAATTAATAAGTTTCATTTTGGATATGCTAAGTTTGAGTTGCCTGGATAAATCTGAGGTAGATAATTCCAATAATG